GAAGAACCTATAAGTATCAATTTGGACATTCAAAAACGAGCAAGCAAATCAGTGCATGACAACAAAATGATAGCAGCAGTCAGTCCATCAATGAGCATCAAACACGATCGAATGAACATCAAGCAATACGAACCTGCTGGCCATTTGCATCGGTAAACTGTTCTTTGCGCAATTCAACAGCGATACTCAAGCATTCAATTGGTTCACCAGCATGATGACCATACGCGTTACTCTAAATCACTCATAATCACAAACTTTAGATGATCATATAAAACTATACAACAAAATTTCTTCTGTTTCATCCGTATTCTCGCAATATTTCATCATCTATACAACAAATACAGCCCTTCAACCCAATCAGTTCAAATTCTTTTGAGAAGCAGTATTGTGATGAGCGATATTCGTTAACTAGTCGAGGGTTTAAGCCATGAACTGTTTCATCAACATCAAAAAATAGTGACAAATCATAAGCAAGATCTCAAGAAACCATATCTTCTCAAAGAACACTGGCTGAATGAATACCGACCATTTCAAGGTTGTGTTCGCGTGGAGAACGATCTTGACCAAGCATTTCCTTAAATTCTTCTTAAGATTACTACTAACTATAATGATAAAATAGAGAGCTTATTAATAACTTTCGAAACATTTTCATTCTCTTGTTAGAAACCACACGAAGAAGCGTCGTCATTATTTCGATGATCTTCGAACGTTTCAAGCAGATGACTGGTCATAAACAATCGAGATCATTCTAAATTCATTTACTCTTTGGAGCGATTCGACTTCTGATGTCGGAATCAACTTCACTATTTTTGTCGAACAGGAAATTAAAGCAGTTTGAGTTGAGTGTATTTATTGGAGAAAATACACTAAGGTGATGCACAAAACAGTCACTTGAGGGATTGGATTGGTTGGATATTAGTAAGGTGACTGTTTTGTGCATCACCTTATAGTGTTTTCTCTAATAAATACTCTCAACTCAAACTTCTTTTAATTCTTTTTCGACAATTTTATTTGTATTCATCAAAAGTATCCCTTCACCGGTCAGTCAGTCTCAATAAAAAGTACAACTTCTTGAAATATCACTTCTCAATTACACACATATCATTTACTCTGCTTGAAACGTAATGAGAAATTAGAATATCCTCTTCATTGAGCAATCCTAAACTAGTATCTATTCGACTACTCCAATCAAAAAACAACTCAATTCGAAAAGATTAATTTCGTCACCTATGAATCACAAACA